GCGTGTATGACAGGGCAGCCTGGGAAAGAAGACAGTCAGCTCTGGAACGGATTAAAAAAAAAGGCTCACAAATTTGGGCTCCGGTGTCAACATCTGAGCACATGGCAGGTATCTGCCAAAGGCAGTATCTGGAAACTTTAGGAAAGCTGCCTGATGCAGTGAGAGGATGCAGGGGGAAGGGGTGTCTTGCAGAAGACCCAGAGGTAGAAAGGGGATTACCCCAGGAAAGCCCAGTAGGCATGTAGGATTTGCAGGGAGATGGAGAAGGGGCGAGTAAAATACACAGTGACATACAGGTACTTAATAAAGCTGCAATTGCAGACAAAGAAGCATCATTTGGTAGATCAGGCTTCATTCTGGGTAGTGGAATTCCATTTTGTAAATCCAGATTATCATTCTCATTTGCAGAATGGAATTGGTACAGGACAATAAAAATCACTCCCTCTAACAGCAAACTCAGGGGGGAAGTGACGACAGAAATGGAACCAGTGCAGGGTCGCTGAAGGTATTTCCAGGCCATTGCTGTGGTCAGGATTCAAGCACATGCTCGAAAATTCAGATAACAGAATTGTAGTTATTTGCGAGTCTTTCCCCCCAAAGATGGAAGTTTCTGCATTAAGGAAAGTGACAGGGAGTAGCACTTGGCTTGGTGGGACTTCGTCTAAACTCCCTGCCAGCAAATCAGGATGAATGCTCATTGTCTAACCTCCTCAGAGGGAAATCAGGATGAATGCTCAATAAACACAAACCAACCCGAGAAACAAGGGAGATGTATTAGCATGCTCAGGGGAACCCTGTAGTCTGCAGAAGCAGGAAAAAAACAACCCTAAGGGAATAGCACTTTCCCCCCTCCCCTCCAAAAAACCCCCTGGCCCAATGAGGACTACTAACCACATTTAGTGTCAGATGAAAAAGAAAAATGGAAAACTGTGGAGTTGGGTGGGTTGAGTGTTTGCTGGAAGAGGATCATCTTGATAGACAACAGTTTTGTGGCTTGGTTGCTTTGTGTGATACAATACTTTCTAAAGGTAGTAGGTACATATGGGAACGTGTACTCCACAAGGAAACGGAATCCCCAGCCACACAGAGCTCTAAGACATTTTATATTTTTGTTCTCCCCTCCTTCATCACTCATGACTGCCACCAGGAAGGGACAGAGACTGCAAACTGCGCAGTCACCCGGATGGAAACATATTGCAGTACCTGGTCCTGGCCTGGGGTGAAGCTCTTTCGCCTGAGATTAACTGCCAGACCCTGAGAGAGCAGCAGAGACAGCAGCAAAGTAATGCAAGGACCGGGGAAATAGCATGGCAGAGCCCTATGTGCACATTTGTTAAAAGCTTTTAAAGGAAAGCTGGCTGGTATGTTAAGGGAGGACCCAATAAAGTGGTTAGAGTGTCAAATTGGGACCTGGGAGTCCAGGATTCAAATCTACACTCAGCCATGCTGTTATTTTCTGTGTTGCTTTTGAGCAGTTTTTGGTGCAGTTTGTCCATAATTTTGAGCCATGTGTGTGGAAGGAGATTGATAATTAAATAAATAACTAAGGAGCGGGAGAACCATGAACTTCACCTTGAGGTCCCTGGAAGCAAGCTAGGTAATAATAAAAAATAGTAATAAATACTTAGGGCTCTATGTACATGCTTAGATATGCACATAGAGCTCCTCCACACAAGAGAGGACCAATCATGCTGGCTATGTTGGGAAAACACCCCCCCCTTGCAGCTGCATGGGGAGTGTTGCCTGTTTGAATGTATCCCATTTGTGGGAAGGATGCTTTACACAGAAAATCAGCATTGCAGGGCATATAGCTGAGCGTAGACTTTTCCCTGATACTCTGTTTTCTGTCTGCAGGGAGGGTCCTGGTCCCACAGGAAAAGAGAGCGCCTTGACTGCGAGCTTCCTGGTCAGAGAGGGACTAAGGGAGAGGAGATTCCCCCCATTAAGTCTGACAGATGTGGGGCCTCTTGACAATAGGATTAGCCCCCTGGCACGTGGGCTCCTCAAGCTCTGCTTTGAAGGGGAAACAATGGGCTGTCCGCTCTCTGCTCGGTTCACCAGGGGTCACTCGTGCAGACATGAGGGCTTCTCATTCTGTGAGTTCAAATCCTTGCTCCTTTGCATGCACCATCCGGGAAACACACAAACAGGAATATTTGTATTCATGCACCCCTCCAACTGCCAGCGTTTTCTCATTGGCTGCTGCCTCTCTTGCTTTTGTCTCCTGCCAAAGGAAAGGCACCCTCTGAACCTGTTGGAACCATCTGCTGGTGGAGGGGGAAGTGGCATAAGCAAAGCGAGTGCCTCAACAGGCAGATTGATGGGCCGCAATCTGTTCTCTGCTACACACACACACACACACACACACACACACACACACACCCTTCCCTCCCTGAGCATCCCAGTCTGGAGATGAAGAGGACATAACACCACCCATCAGCTAATGAATTAATTAGTAGTCCTGATAATCCCAGACTCCGAGAGGGCAAGCTCTGTGTGAGATGATGATAACTTGAATTGAGTGTGCCTGGTGTTGGCATGTGGGAGAGAGAAGCACATGCCATATAGACCCTCTTAGGAGCTCAAACCAGTAATTACATTCAGCAGGGAGCCTGGTGAATCTGGCTGGTGCTACTAATAACAGAGAAGGGAGAGTCAATGGCAATGGCAAGTCACCTGCTCCCATCCCACCTTTCTGCTGCCCCGTCACAAGCATGTTCAGCAGAGAGCCAGTCGTGGCAAAACAGACTTCATTCTCACCCTTCAGTGCAATTCTGAGCATGTTGTTTAATCAGAAGTAAGTCCCGTTGTGGCTTACTTCCTAGTACAGGGATGGGGTCCTCCAGATGATCCTGGACTCCAACTCCCATCAGCCTCAGCCAGGAACATCTGAAGGGCCAAAGTTTCCTCATTCCTGTCCTCATAAGTAAGTCTGCTTAAGACGGTGACCATCATGGATGCTGTTGAGAGTGACAATTCTGCGTCTCCTCCTCTCTGCCCTATTTCATAAGGCAAAATATATGAAGTCATGTTATTTTGGTAGTTTATACCTGTTGCGCTTCTTTGTCTGCCAGGGAAATCAATGACACAATGGCAACATAAATGTTAGCAGGGAAAGGTGGATGAAGAGATGTGGGGTCTTCTTTTCAGCAGTTGCTAAGCATTTTCTGTCATTTATAATTATTGCCTCAACTTCCACTGTTAAAAAAACTGCAAGGTTTCTAGTCCTCATGGATTATTACAAAAGGTTTGAAATGGTGTGGATCATGCTAGTGAGGAAGGCAGAGGTAATATTTCTAGTGCTTGGGGTGGGGGGACTTCACATCTCTAGTGTTCCTGCTTCTGCCATAACAAAAAAAAGTTCTGCCCCAGAGGACAGGAAGAGATTAATGGGTTTAAGTCACAAGTGCCTGGTGTTTGATTTTAGCTGAATAGAGGAAACTCCTCAATGGTAACGACCTATACTGTAAGACCCCTGCCAACTCTATCCCTATTATTCTGCATGTTCACAAGAGGTGAGGAAGAGAGAGAGAAGCGTAATAGCTGGTGTTGGTGCAGGACATGGTGAACATCCACCTGAAACATGTAATGGTCTTCAAGTTGATGTTTCAGGAAGCTCTTAACAAATTAAGTTAAGATACGGTAATTAGGATGAAAATGCAGTAAATCTCCCTATGCAATTAAAGCCAGTGAATAAATCTATTGCCCAACCTCTCTTACGGTATATTCTTGCTGTGTGTGTGTTCATGCACACACACACTGAAAAGTTAAACATTGGTAAGCAAGACTAAATATTTAGAACTGTATAAAAAATTTAAAAAATTGTCCAGTAGCACCTTAGAGACCAACTAAGTTTGTTCTTGGTAGAAGCTTTCATGTGCATGCACACTTCTTCAGATACACACAAAAGCTTATACCAAGATCAAACTTGGTCTCTAAGGTGCTACTGGACATTAAAAAAAAAATTATATATATATTTCAACCGTGTCAAACTAACACAGCTACTTACCTGTATTTAGAACTGGATAGAGGTGGGTGAACATGAGACACTCTTCTGAACAGAAGTGAGTGGAATTTTTAACATTTTGTATTTTTATCAATTTAATTTTAGTTTTTTGTCATCTGTTTGCATTTATCATCACATACTCTAGGAAACTACCAACACGTGTGAGCATGCATGCGTATAAGACAAGATAGGTTTCATGCCAAACATGACATTTAGCCTTGTCACAGCAGGACTTAATTTGAGACAAGGCTCACTGGGGCTTTGCTTGTCCCCTGGTAGCTGAGCTTGGCCTTCTTAGGCATGAAATAATGGTAAAGTTTGTACATTTGAGCATGGATGAGCATGGAAGTAAGGCAATCAATGTCTCCTAGTAATGACTGCTATATATTACCTCCAGAGCCAGAGGCAATATGCCTATGGTTGCCACTTGCTGGGAATGACAAGTGGTCCTTCTTGAAGACTCTCCAGAGACATATGGATAACCACTTTGGGAAACTAGAAGTGCCTTTGGTCTGATCCAGCAGGGCCCTTCTTGTGTTCAGGTACAGAGTCCTCAGCACTGAATGGCTGCAATAAAATGCCCACAGCAGTCAGGGCTTACAAGGCATCGCCTCTCATTTTAGAAACTAAACATCATTTCCCACATAGTAGGATTTTAAATGACTTAAGTGGTGTTAGCATCGTCCTTCCTCCCCCTCTGCTAACAAGGCTTAATCTGAGCTAGGGTGTTAAAGAAAGCTTTAACTCCACAATATATCTACATAACGGCCTCGGAACATGTGCAGGTTTTCTCTTCATGCGCACACATGCCCCAAGAAGCCACAGCTACTTCTGCCCTGCATCTGAGATGGCAGAGATGGGAAAGCGGGTGCTTTGATGTCAAGCTCTGTAGCTTTCTGGGAGGTGGGATGCTAAACCGTTTATTTCAGAAATTCAGCGCTGGCTGGGGTTCCAGAAACTAAAGGGAGGGAAAGGAAGCAGACTAGAAAACTTTCCTTGCAGACGTCCAGTGCAGGCGTCCTTGCTGCTTTGCACTCTCTTTTCTCTACCCCAAGTGGGAGGAGCTCCCGGAGGTTCCAGTCAAGCGGAAATCGCCAACACCAGAAAGCTTTTCAAAAGTGTCGGGATCCCGAGGAGTTCTCCAGAAGCAAGAGGAGGAGCTGCCCGGAGAACTTGTGGTTCTGGAAGAGGAAGCAGCAGAGGAAAGTTCCTGAACCCCTTCTAAGTGCCGAGACCGCGCTGAAAACCCAGCGAACAGAGAGGCATAGGGTCGACAGCCGTGACCCAGAGGAGAGCCTGTTATTTTGTGTTTTCTAGCGCCAGCCTGCGCCAGTGGGTGGGAGAAAAGAGAGACCGGGAAAGGCTCGAAGGCAACCCGGGACTAAAGACAGAGGCTCTTTTCCTATAGCGGAGGTGAGGGAGCTGTCCCCGGCCTCTGGTGCTGAAAGGTCCTACTGCTGTGGAAGAATGTTCGAGGAACACTGAACACTCAAGAAACTTTTGTTGGCTTCTGTTGTCAACAAGGAGCAAGCGGGAGGTGGTCAAAAGGCTACCCTTTAGCACGGTAAGAGGGGCTGGGAGTCATTTGCCAAATACTGCTTTTTTGTTTTTTTAAAAGGCATTTCCTTCTGACTAAAAGGGTGGTGCAAACTGAAATTGTATGTTCTTTTCCTTAAGTTACGGCCTACAGGTCTGAATCTGAACTCACAAATTTGTTCCCATCTAGAACCCTCAATTCCACGTGCAAAAGTAAGTTTGTGTAAGCCAGGTGTGATTAAAGTCTTAATTCATGTTAATTATCGGTACGAAATAGGGTTAAGAGTTCAGGAAAGTGTAATTAATCAGTTTGAGCATTACCCCAAGATTATGCTTGAGCTGTCTTCCAGTCTACAAGGTACATAATTAAAATCACTTTGTACATATTATTTACCTCCCTCGGCACATTTTCAGTTCAGTGCGCACCATTTAGGGGTGGGAACTGGTGGCTGTTTGAACTACAGATTCTAACCATGCACCTACATCTAATATGTGGTAAGGTAGTACAGATAGTCAAACTACCTGGAGGTGAGAGAATGCTCACACTGTGTATTTTGGTTGTCTGCTTGGGCATTAAAGCACAGTCAAGGTGATTAACAATGATAGATGAGTGAGTTTCTGCATGTTTTTCAGTGCTTGTGGGTGAGTGGAAAGAATGTGCAATTAAATCTGAATGAGAATCTATGAGAACAGAAGGAAATGTATCATTCCTGGACAAAAGGTGTGACTTTTTACATATGTGATACAAGTGTAGAACAGGTGGTTCTGATTTGTATTAATAGTTCTCCACATAGACTTGATAATTTGGAATTTGAGATTAATTCATCCATGGGAAGCGGATGAGTTTAGGACTGTTTATCTAAGCCAGAGCTAGTGACCCATTAGAAAGCTCTGGAATTCATTCTGTGGGAATTTAGATTCATATCCCAACTCATGACCTTTACTGGGGGACTTTGGGGAAGCTGCTGTTATGGTCATCCCTAAAACTACAAATTCTGATGCTTTCCTTTGAAGTCTTGTTTTGAAGACATGTGTGAAAACTTAATGTAACCCACAATAAGTGTTAGGCAAATTATAAGTCTAACACTGATTAATGTACAGCTCCATGCATTGCAATTGCGCTGACATATATATTTGCAATCTCCCTTTGAGAGGTAAAGCATCTTGTTTGTTCCATGAGCAGCTTGTTATTCCATTCCATCCCTCTAAAGAGTCCCCCCCCCCATCCTGCTTAAATTTATTGCAAATTCATGAATCCACTGCTTTTGCTTCTAAGCACTGGAGAATAGCTATACCTCTGCAACAGAAATCAGGCTTTGCACACTGAAAATCCTAGCTTCAGGTCCCAGTACCACTTGCTAAAACTTTGGACAGCAGCTATCAGTCAGTAATACTGGGATAGATGGACCAATGGTTTGCCTTAGGAGGACAAGTCATTTTACATCTTTGACATTTGTCTTTCCTCTTCCTGTATACATTTGTCTTTTCCTCTTCCTGTATATTTTTGGCAACTGTATTATTATTATTATTATTATTATTATTATTATTATTATTATTATATCCTGCCCATCTGGCTGGGTTGCCCCAGCCACTCTGTGTGGTCCCTTGCTCTGTTTAGTAAGCCAAACATGCCCCATTTATTTGGAAGCCGATAAGAATAAATGAAATGTGTGGAACAATGATACATATAAGTGTGTGTATGTGTGTGGAAGGTCCTATTATGATCTATAAAAAGAAAAACTAATGTAGAATATGGATGTATACACACCATACATTTAAAGCACATTTTTTAATCTCAAAGAATCCTGGGAACTGTATTTTACTCCCCTAGAGCCACAATTTCCTGCACCCTTAACAAACTACAGTACCCAGGATTCTTGGAGGGGGGGGACTTTCAATGTATGGTGTGTATGCAGCTGGAACCAGATATCTGGTGGCCCCATGGCTATTTCAAATGCGGAAACATTATCTTTTTTTCTGTGCCCCTTGGCTGTGCCCCTTCTGGCTCTGCTTTACCCGAGACTTCCCCAAGTGCATTGAGAGACAGCTTGTCAAGGAATATTAACCAGATGTGCCAACCCTTCCATCCCATTGCTTTGGGAAGAGAGAGAGAGGAATCATACCAGGGGTAGGGGAGTGCTTTGCTCGTAAAGGTTCTTTCACCTGGACAGATTTGCTCCATCCATATATTTATTGCAGGGTCGAACCCTAGTGGGGCAGCAGGGTAGGGGTGGAAGACCAAGCTCTAATCAACAATATTTTATCGGCAAAGCCTGTGATAAATGTCACCATAATGTGCTGAATGGCCCAGAATTCCAGACACAAACTTTTAGGTACATGTTATTGAGAAATCAGGAAGTACCTTGAATACTATCTAGTACAGTCCCTATCTGAAAGCAGATCCTAATTATTGGATTGTTTCCATAATAATAATAATAATAGTAATAATAATAAAATGCACATGAATAACCAATTGCATAACCATATTTTCTATATAAATGGGATGACATTTGGTTCATATTTGAAATTTAGCAAGAATTTGCAGTGGGTTTTAATCTTAAAAGAAACCTAATACATTTGTTGCTTGTTCAAATTTGGTTTTTTAAATTCAGTAAAGAAGGTTATTAAAAAATAGAAATACTCATTTAATTGTGTTGAATTTTGAAGTAACAGCATAAAGTTTTACCCTGTCAAATAAAATTATTTTGCACTTTCATAAGCCCTAAAATTTATAAAATAAAATTTATGAATGGGAATTATATGTGTGGGAGAGAGACTAAGAGAATACACATTTTTACTCCAAGCAGATTCAGGTTAGCAGATGTTAAGTTAGCAGAGTTTCTTTCTGTTTCTCTTAATGCTATTCTTAAATCTGTATGCGCATAAATTGTGACCCATTTGGCTGAATCCAAAGAATCACATAATCAAGGAGGATTTGTGTTTCTGTTTGTCAAAAAGCATCCTCTCGTGCTATGTAGTAAATCACTTCTGAAATTGAGGGGACTTTGATAACCACTTTGTGATAGATCACAGTGTTCTGCTGTTCATTGCAAGTAGTCAAGCATCCTACTGGGCTATTGTAGCATGGCTATTTGACTCCTGGTCATTGTGTCATCATCATCATTAAAAATCATACTTTTCAGATTTATAATTTCACTAATTTTACAATCATTTTAACATTTCAAAACTTGACATCCTTCCCCCTCTTTCTGCAGTTCCTAAAATTTACTTTAATATCTTCTGCATATCCAAATTAACTTAATTTGCTCATTTATTCATCTGCTTTAAATATATACTCCTGTAAAACTGCATGCTATTACAATAATCCTGCCAATGTTCTTATGTGTTTAGAATTTATCTATAAATATTCAATAAACCATTTCCATTCTTTTATAAAAAGTTTATCTTGATTTCTTACTCCTCTGGTAAGTTTCGCCATTTCTGCATATTCCATAAGTTTTTGTATCCATTCTTCCTTTGCTACGACTTCTGCTTCTTTCCATTTTTGGGTGAGAAACATTCTTGCCGCTGTAGTTGCATACGTAAATAAGTTTCTATACAGTTTAGGTAGTTCTGTCCCTATAATTCCCAAAAGGAAAGCTTCTGGGGTTTTTTTTACAAACATTATTTTAAACATCCCTTTCATATCATTATATATCATTTTCTAGTAAGCTTTAACCTTACTACAAGACCACCACATATGATAAAAAGAACCTTCTTTCTCTTTACATTTCCAACACTTATTTCATAGAATCATAGAATCATAGAATCATAGAATCATAGAGTGGGAAGAGACCACAAGGGCCATCGAGTCCAACCCCCTGCCAAGCAGGAAACACCATCAGAGCACTCCTGACATATGGTTGTCAAGCCTCTGCTTAAAGACCTCCAAAGAAGGAGACTCCACCACACTCCTTGGCAGCAAATTCCACTGTCGAACAGCTCTTACTGTCAGGAAGTTCTTCCTAATGTTTAGGTGGAATCTTCTTTCTTGTAGTTTGGATCCATTGCTCCGTGTCGGCTTCTCTGGAGCAGCAGAAAACAACCTTTCTCCCTCCTCTATGTGACATCCTTTTATATATTTGAACATGGCTATCATATCACCCCTTAACCTCCTCTTTTCCAGGCTAAACATGCCCAGCTCCCTTAGCCGTTCCTCATAAGGCATCGTTTCCAGGCCTTTGACCATTTGGGTTGCCCTCCTCTGGACACGTTCCAGTTTGTCAGTGTCCTTCTTGAACTGTGGTGCCCAGAACTGGACACAGTACTCCAGGTGAGGTCTGACCAGAGCAGAATACAGTGGCACTATTACTTCCCTTGATCTAGATGCTATACTCCTATTGATGCAGCCCAGAATTGCATTGGCTTTTTAGCTGCCGCGTCACACTGTTGGCTCATGTCAAGTTTGTGGTCAACCAAGACTCCTAGATCCTTTTCACATGTACTGCTCTCAAGCCAGGTGTCCCCCATCTTGTATTTGTGCCTCTCATTTTTTTGCCCAAGTGCAATACTTTACATTTCTCCCTGTTAAAATTCATCTTGTTTGTTTTGGCCCAGTTCTCTAATCTGTCAAGGTCGTTTTGAAGTGTGATCCTGTCCTCTGGGGTGTTAGCCACCCTCCCAGTTTGGTGTCATCTGCAAATTTGATCAAGATGCCCTTGAGTCCATCATCCAAGTCGTTGATAAAGATGTTGAATAAGACCGGGCCCAAGACAGAACCCTGCGGCACCCCACTAGTCACTCTTCTCCAGGATGAAGAGGAACCATTGATGAGCACCCTTTGGGTTCAGACAGTCAGCCAGTTACAAATCCACTGAGTGGTAGCATAGTCAAGACTGCATTTTACCAGCTTCTTTACAAGAATATCATGGGGCACCTTGTCAAATGCCTTGCTGAAATCAAGGTAGGCTACATCCACTGCGTTCCCTTCATCTACCAGGCGTGTAATTCTGTCAAAAAACGAGATCAGGTTAGTCTGACATGACTTATTTTTCAGAAATCCATGCTGACTATTGGTGAAGACAGCATTCCTTTCTAGGTGCTCACAGACTGTTTGCTTAATGATCTGCTCCAGAATCTTCCCTGGTATTGATGTCAGACTGACTGGGCGGTAATTATTTGGGTCCTCTCTTTCCCCCTTTTTGAAAATAGGGACAACATTTGCCCTCCTCCAGTCTGCCGGGACTTCGCCTGTTCTCCAGGAATTCTCAAAGATGACTGCCAGTGGTTCTGAGATCACATCTGCCAAGACTTTTAATACTCTTGGATGCAGTTTATCTGGCCCTGGAGACTTGAATACATCTAAACTAGCCAAGTATTCTTGTACTATCTCCTTAGTTATTCTGGGCTGTGTTTCCTTTGCTGAATCATTTGCTCCAAATTCTTCAGGTCGGGCATTGTTTTCTTTATCGGAGAAGACTGAGGCAAAGAAGGCATTGAGGAGTTCAGCCCTTTCTGTGTCCCCTGTTTGCATTTCACCATCTTCTCCTCTGAGTGACCCCACTGTTTCTTTGTTCTTCCTTTTGCTACGGACATACTCATAAAAGCCTTTTTTGTTGAATCATAGAATCATAGAATCATAGAGTTGGAAGAGACCACAAGGGCCATCAAGTCCAACCCCCTGCCAAGCAGGAAACACCATCAGAGCACTCCTGACATATGGTTGTCAAGCCTCTGCTTAAAGACCCCCAAAGAAGGAGACTCCACCACATTCCTTGGCAGCAAATTCCACTGTCGAACAGCTCTTACTGTCAGGAAGTTCTTCCTAATGTTTAGGTGGAATCTTCTTTCTTGTAGTTTGGATCCATTGCTCCGTGTCCACTTCTCTGGAGCAGCAGAAAACAACCTTTCTCCCTCCTCTATGTGACATCCTTTTATATATTTGAACATGGCTATCATATCACCCCTTAACCTCCTCTTCTCCAGGCTAAACATGCCCAGCTCCCTTAGCCGTTCCTCATAAGGCATCGTTTCCAGGCCTTTGACCATTTTGGTTGCCCTCCTCTGGACACGTTCCAGTTTGTCAGTGTCCTTCTTGAACTGTTGCTTTTAACCTCTCTAGCAAGCCTGAGTTCATTCTGTGCTTTAGCTTTTAGATTTATACATTTGATTTAGATTTATACATTTTTGCCAATTTACTCAGTGTTAGATACCATTGATATATCATTTTCATATATTTTTCTCTTAGACCATAACATGCTGTAAATTTTATATCCATATTCCACAATCGTTCCCATGCTTCCATGCCCATATTATGACCAATATCTATTCCCAATGTATCATTGAGGATTTTACTTGCTCATCCTTTGTCTCCCATTCCAATAATATTTTAGACAGCACTTTTACATTCCATTCCATCAGGTCTCTCTCCAATTGTGATATTTGTTCCCAAAACCCTCGTATCCTATCTTTCTTAAATACTTCATTCAAATGATGATAGTGTATCCATGCTGGTAACTTTCCTTATAATTCTTTAAATTCTTTTAATTTATACTCTCTTCCCTCTTGTTTTAATAAATTTCTGTAAGTTCCGCACCCTTCTATCATATTCTTTTTCTTTACCACTATAGCTTTCAATGATGAGAACCAAAGTGGTGTTTTTAATAAATTCTTGGATTTATCCCATACTCTACAATTTTTTCCTAATTATATGATTTGTAAATCTTTTATGAACTTTCACCTTTTCATACCATAAATAAGCGTGCCAACCAAAAATATTGTCGTGATCTTCTAAGTCTAGAATATGTGAATTCTCTAACGTCATCCATTCCTTTAACCAACAAAGACAGGATGCCTCATACTATGGTCTCATATCTGGCAGGGGAAAATCTCCTCTTTCTTTTGCATCCATAAATATTTTATGTTTTATTTTGATTTTTCCACTTGCCAAATATATTTAGAAATACCTTTTTGTCATGAGTTGCAACCAACCTGGTCATTGTGTCTTGCTCTGTTCTCAGTTAAAATGGTGAATATTTTAGAGCTGAGCTGAAAGATCTAGTCATTTGTTTTTTACCTTTAAAGTTGTATTTTAGTCCTACAATTTGTTGTGCCTGTTCACAGCTGTTTGTCACAATCACTAGTAGCCCTTGTGCTGTTGCTTCCAGTACCATTTTCCTCCTATTTCCTTTCTTCTCAAGGAATCTCAGTCAATCCTGGATCACATAACTGGATGTGATGATGTCACTACACAGCATTACCCATATTATTTTGCTGGTGGTGTCACAATGGAAAGGGAGCCATTTTGAATGAGGGCAATGCCAGCTATATATAAGAAATTCTAGCCAACCAGGGATCATTCTAACAACTAAACACTTTTGTAGCCCTTTCACATGTAATTCTGAAAAAAGTGCTAGAGGACCCCCACACTCACCGGCCTGCCAATGACAGTTTTTGTGAGAGAGTGGGAGCCTACACTTTCAGCTCATCCAAAGATCATTGAGATTTAAGCTTTCATCATTTCTAGATCATTTCACAAAGCTATATGGCATTGGCAGAAGGAAACAGAAGTTGTCCTTAAGCTCCGACAGAGTAGTGTGTGTCATATCCGAAGGACATTTCCCTCACCCGGGTGTGACAGCAGCGGGCCCAGCCCAGGCCCAGTCACTGCACCAGCTTCAGGTCAGCACAGCAATTTGCCTGCCCCTCCCTCTGGTACCTTCCACCCTGGACAGTATGAGCAGCAGGGCTGTAGATGTGATGCTGACTCGCCTGCTCTGTTAAGCCCCCGCCACAACCCAGCCCAGGGCTCAGCTTGCAGCCAAAGCCTGAGCAGTCTCACTTGTACCCAGCAGGTCAACCACCACCATACTCAACAGCAGCCTGCAGATTTGCACACCTTGTGTGACCCACCAAACCAGAGACAGTACACTAGCCATGTACGGTGACTTACTAAGGGTTTCTTAGCCTCCTTGCTTGTTTTTCAGTTCTGTGTAGGCAGCAAAAAGGGTGACATTCATTGAAGTTATCGAGAGCCATCAAAGGAGCTGCATTCACTTGCTGGATCCCAAGTTGTTCTCTCCTGTCAAGAGACAGTGACTGGCCCATATTTACCCAGTAAGCCTTGTGCCTGGGTGGGGGTTTGCACCTGCATCTCCCCAGGCCTAGTTCAATGCTTGCCCCACAACACTGCACTGCACCCCTAGGAGCAGGGCCTCCCGCTGTCACAGATCAGGTGCATGCAAGTATCTGGCCCACATGTGTTCCAGGGTAAGGCTAGGTTTGCTACATTCTAATTACTTACTAAAACGTAATTAGGGTCTGCTTGGAGCCTATGGGACACACTACCCATTTGCACAACAATTAACACTTTAATCCATTATACAAGTCCCATCAGGCATATTAAAAGTAGGATTTGCTACACTGGATGAGGCGACGGCCAGTTGACCGATTAGTTGGATGGCACATTTTCAACAAAGCTGCTTACACATTAAGCTTTATTAAATGAGTACGTCAAGCTGACAAGCAGTTGATTATCATGAAACCCAGGCTGTTGTTTTTTCCTGTTCTTTCTCTGTAGTGTTGTCGTAGCATTCATTATTCACCAGAGGCTGACTCCTACCCTGAGTAGGATCAATCTGCACCACAACATTTTGCTGTAGGTCCCTGTATTTGAAATGTGAAATTCTGCCTCAAAATTCAAACAACAGAGATGGATAGATAGATGATAGGACAGACATCTGATAAATAAATTATGAAGCTAAGACTCCATCACTAAAAATGTCCAACCAAACTTAGTAAGTTCCATTAAAAACAATTGGGTTTAAATTAAATCTCAACTAATTTGTTCTATTGGATTCTATGTACAGTGGACGCTCAGGTTGCGAACGTGATCTGTGCGGGATGCATGTTCGCAACCCACAGTGGTACGTCTGCGCACTTGTGGGTTGCGATTCGGCTCTTCTGTGCATGCGCAAGGTGCAATTTAGTGCTTCTCTGCATGCGTGACCGCCGAAAACCGGAAGTAACCCGTTCCGGTACTTCTGGGTTTCGGCGGTCCGTAACCCGAAAAAACGCAACCTGAAGCGTCTGTAACCCAAAGTATGACTGCATCTTCTATTTAAGGAATGATTATTAACTTTAGTTGAATCGGGACCTTTAGGTTTAGATTTTTATCCCACCTTCTCACTATGCTCAGAGTAGCAGAGTGTTGTGATTATGAAAACTCAGAGAGATTCCTATTTTATTATTTAATATATTTTAACTTCCTCTCCAAGTCCTTACAGATGTTTCTGTGAATGAAGATGCCCCTCACCCCAATTAGCATCTGATTTTATTTTTGGTAAAATTTGGTGACAACTCCAATTAGCTTTTCCATACAAATCTGTTATGTGGCCTATGGCATTTTTTCATTTGCTTGCATGGAACTCAGCTTACAAGGTATAATTGTGGATCTAATCTTCTCTCACCCCTAAAGGAAATATTCTGATCATCTGTTTCAGACCAGTGCAGCCTATGACCAACCAGTATGGTCTCCCCACCAGGGCTTGTAAACCGTCTTCATTTGCTTCCTACCCAAAAGTTAAAAAACACGAAGGGGTGATGTATCAAGCACCCATCAGGCTAGTGGGCTTCTTTTGGTTTTGTGCATTTGCAAGCTGTGCAGGTCTATGTTTATGGCAGGGATGGTGAGCCTGTGGCCCTCCATATGTTATGAGACTACAACTGCCACCAGTCCTGACTATAGGCCACACTGAGAGCATAGGCTGATGAGAGTCCAATAACATCTGGAGGGCCACAGGTTCCCAACCCCTGCTTCCAGATAAAAAGCTATAGGAAGATTAGAGAAAGGTCAGGGTTAAGCTGTACAATATGCTAAATAGACAAGGTTGTCTCCATCAAATTTTTATTCAGAGTATACCCATTAAAATTAATTGACCTAAGTTACTTCTGTCCACTAATTTCAATGGTTCTGCACTGTGTATGACTGACATTGCATACAAGCACCACAGGCTAGAACAGAATGGTAGAACATAATTTCCTGGGTCATACCTCTTTATATAAAATGATAAAGTCATCTTGTGGACCTGCTCATTCCTGAATTCATTTGGATTTGTGGTTGCTGTTTTTTCCAGGGTCAAGGGATGAGCAAACTCTACAGCAAGTCCAAAGAAATGGCCGAGCTCATATCATCTCAACCATGGATAGATGAAGCCCTAAGCTCCCAAGATGAGATGAAGGAAGAAGATAGCAGGCAAGCCTCCTATGGGATACTTGCTGGACTTAATGAAGAGCATGACAGTATTGAGGAGGAGGAGGAGGAGGAGGAAGATGGTGGGAAGCCAAAAAGAAGGGGCCCAAAGAAGAAGAAGATGACCAAGGCAAGAATGGAGAGGTTCAGGGCCCGCCGGGTGAAGGCTAATGCCCGGGAGCGAACACGGATGCATGGGCTCAATGATGCTCTGGATAACCTTAGGCAGGTGATGCCCTGCTACTCCAAGACACAGAAGTTGTCCAAAATTGAGACACTCAGACTTGCCAGGAACTATATATGGGCTTTGTCAGAGGTCCTGGAAAGTGGGCAGACTCCAGAAGGGAAAGGTTTTGTCGAGATGCTTTGTAAAGGTTTGTCCCAACCAACCAGCAACTTGGTGGCTGGCTGCCTGCAGCTGGGACCTCAAACCCTGTTCTTGGAGAAACATGAGGAGAAAAGCCCTGTCTCTGACTCAGCTGTGCCCAGCCACAGTTTTTCTTACCAGTCTCCTGGGCTGCCCAGTCCACCGTACGGAAACATGGAGGCCCACCTTGTACACCTAAAGCCTCCCACATTCAAAAGCCTTGTGGATCCGTCCTTTGGCAACCACCACCAAGACTGCACATCTCCGGCATATGAAGGCCCCTTGACACCTCCCCTGAGCATCAGTGGAAATTTCTCCCTAAAGCAAGATGGTTCTCCAGACCTGGAAAAATCATACAGCTTCATGACCCACTACCCATCTGTTAGCTTGAGCAGCACTCATGGGCACAGCTCTCATTTCTCAACCTCAGTGCCCAGGTATGACATCCCCATAGATATGAGTTATGACTCCTATCCTCATCATGTGGTTGGGGCCCAGCTCAATGCAATATTCAGTGAATAACCCAAGAAGATGAATCCCCTCATGGATTAAAGGAATACGATCCTTTGTGGAGATGGTGTGACATCAGTAGAATTAATACTGTGAAAAGGAGTTTACTTGCTCTACTATGATCAGACTAGTTTCATGGGCAGTCATACCACATTCTTCTGAGCACAAATATATTTTAGTTGTGTGGGTTTATGGGCTTTCAGACAGGTCCCCATTCCTAAAGTGCAGCTCCAAGTTTCTTCGTGGTTTTTGCATTTAGGATGCAGACACAACATTTACAGTTAACAATGGAGCTGATTTGGAGTACCCTCATTGCAGCCACTACAAACATCCCCCCCTTTCCAGGATCAAACACTGGACTGAAAATGGCTCTGCATGCTTGCAGCAGAAGCTGGCAGTGGGTGCTGCTGATTAACTATCACCCATGACATCACCATTACACCACCATATTCAGTTCCCAAAGCAGCCTTGCAAATGCAATTAAAAAGTTCCTTTTTTTAAAAAAAAGGTGGACTGTTAATATATAAATTAATATGAGTACATAAAATAAAAATTGGAAAGCCCACTCAGTGCAATGGGGAGAGGCAGGCAGCTGACCGATTAATCCAATGTTATTTCTGCCAAGCAAACTGGAGTCAGAGTCACACCACAGGCAAAGAAACTGTTGTGTCTTCTCTTTCTTCACATTTAGATTTGCCATTGTGCTTCCACACAAATCTGCAGAACACACTGCCATGAAACCAGGCACACCGCTGGTATAAAAAGTGTGGTGTAGGGCTTATGCAAAAGCCTGGGAATTGGGAAGACAAAGTATTATTATCATAGTGCATCTGACTTCCTGACCTTTCTCTTCCCCTTCCTTTCACCTCTCTAAATCAAGGATGGGGAACCCAGGGCCATCCAGATGCTAGAGTTCAGTTTCCTTCAGCCTCAGACAGCCTGGCCAGTGGTCAAGGAGGATAGGAGCTTTAATCCAGTGATATTAGAGGGGCACAGGCTCCCCATGCTTGCTCTAAATAAGAAACTGCAGCAGGGGATAGAATAGTATCTACATGGGACCTTAGGGTGATGAGGGTGGGTAATACAATGAAATAATGACAAGTGCAGCAACCCTTTTTGATTTATGGCTCCCCCATAAAATTCCTCTGAGGAGGGAAATATAAATCTATGACCGTTGCCCCTGCCCTAGTGCAAAACTTACCACCAGCTCTAACAGAGGTGTGTGATAACCTATTGCTTTCCCCCCACTGCTTTCTGCTTATTAAACTTATCACAATTCTTTAGACTCACCTAGATCAGCCTTTCAGATGTTTCACTTCCGAAGGCACCTCCATTTTGGCCTTGATTTTTGTAGTAGGACAAAATCAATGCCAGCCCTAAAGAAAGTGACAAAGTTCACTGAATTTATAGACTCCCATTTCTCTTGACAGTCTTTAGTTCCCCAGAAGTCAGAAAAGAGCAATTCCCAGGAAGGAGACACCAGAGAGATTCTGCCTGCTCCCTGTGAAAAAAACAACCAATGTGAAACCATGATGGACAGGAAGAACACTTGCTACTTCCTGCCCACTTGGAACGACAGGGTTTTGCTAATAGGGGAAATAAAGTTAAGAGATCTTTCTTCCAACCCAACAGCTTTAGTCTGGATTATACTTAGCACCATGAAAACACACACACGTATGGGGCAAACCCTGCTACAGACTGTCATGATCACTTTAGACCAAATGTGCTCAGCCTACAGCTCCTATCTTCCTATGCTATTGACCATGCTAGCTGGGGCTGACAGATTGTAGGTCACAGGCCCCCGTTTCTGATTTTGACTCTGCAACCACACTTCCCAGTTTGGGGAAGCATCCTCACTCCACTGAATCATAAATCTTAATCCCATATGTTCAACCATCTGAAATCTCAAATAGTGTCTAGGAGAATTAAACCAATGATACAGACTTCAGGCTTCAGGCTTCTTCCCAAGGGGCTTTGGTGAAAACTGTAGGGAGAAAGAAAGAGGAACAACACTCCTGAAAATGTACTAGGCAGTAGCTCCTTCCAGCAGCAGCCACATATGAGCCAGCATCTTCTCATACACTAAGAGGATTCACATATAGGAGTTCACAATCACCAGTGCATCTTATAGCAAGGATGCTCCTAAAGCGCAATGTCTCACTTTCAATATGAATATCACACTGATTTATCTCCAGCTCCTCCATTGCCTAGCCTGTGTGTGCAATGTGACATTGCTAATTCATGACTTCAGTATAGCAGCAATAAATGGAAGGCTAGCCTTCTCCAGTCCAGACCAGCTGCATCACTTCCGTTGCAAGATACAATGTAGTCATTCATTCTTTCACAATATTGAACTAAACCTCAATGGGTGGATCTTCAATCTTTCCAGTCAAGCAAGAGACTCACACCCCACCACCATTTTAAAAAAAACGCTCATTTGCTTGTGCCCCAGAAAGGGCTCAGTTCTTGGATCTTCTACCACCCTTTCTTCTTACAATAACCAAGGCATAAACATGCATAAGAATGTGGGGATATAAAAAACTGCTGGACTTCACAAAAGCAAATGAAGCCCATTACCACTGACTGCCATCTTTGACCTGAACACTCAAAAGTCTAAAAACTGGTTGTGAGGATTTGATATACATGCCTCTAGGACCTCTTCTCTCCAGCTAGCCAACAAACAATGGTGTATTTTGTTATGTATCCCAGCTAATGCATGATACATGGACAATTCAGGTTCCAGGGCCCAATCCAATTTGCAGGGCTGCCTCTCTGTATTATTCAGAATGCTGATGCCACATTGCTGTTGACATTATTAATATTCATTTTAGTCCAGCCATTTAAATGCAACGTTTCTCCAATGAAATTGCATGTGCCGTGATCAGTGACTGCAGAACCTACGTTTAATTTAATGTAATTTAAACTCCTGGGTGCCAGCCAGGCAAAGGTCACAAATGAGGTGGAGCCTGTCTTGGGACTCAGGTGGAATCTTGCTTGAGCATGTGTGTGATCCACACTTCCCTTTCTTCCACTCTTTCTAGCATGGTCTATGCTTTAAAACTCTGTGTCCAAGCACCCGGTTTTTTTGCTCCTGAGCTTTCCCCGTGAAAACCTACTCTTTGAAGCACAATTGGAGCAAACAGCAATCTGTGGAAAACCCAAACTGACCTTTGCTCTGGTCAAGTGCTAAAGAGCAGGTTTTTGCAAGGAAAGCTCTGGGACTTTAAAGCGCAGTCCTGTATCCGGAAAGAGTGGAGGAAATGTGTTTGGATAAGTCCAAAGTTAGAAGAAAAACAGGTGTCTGACTTCTTGTCAGAAGACAGAGCTCAAGAAGGACTAGTCAGGAGAGTGGATGGGGAACCCTGACTACCCAATCAAAGCACTCTGCTTTGGCCAACCTTCCCCGCCTGGGTGCTTTCCAGATGTTGTTGGACTCCCATTCCCATCAATGCCAGATGGCATGGTGGCCATTATCGTCCAACAACATATGGAGTGTGGCATGGCCAAGGTATTTTTTTTTCAATTTTATTAGCATCACCCTGATTTTTTCCCCCTGTTACTAGTGGTTATTAAGCAATATGAATACTGGTATTCATTTTTATTTGTGTGTTACCAAAGTTATATATAACTCAACTGCGGTAAGTACTGCTGTCTGTGAGCATTCTATGTGAACACTGTTCTAGGTAGTTACCTTGGAACTCCAGGGTATCCAACACTAAAAGTTGTCACTGAAATTTGCCTCCTACAAAATGTGAAGATAATATTAGCATCTCTGCTTGGAGCAGTGTGATCAGCTGAAGAAGATTAAAAGGAACCCACAGCCTCATCAAAAGGGACAGGATACCACTGTGCTCCTTTGTGACCCCCTGCTCTAGAAGGCAGCCCGCCAAGTAAAAGCCATGTCTAAAGTGTCCCTATTATTTATTATTAACCCGGATTCTTCTAAGTTATTTCCTTTTTCATTTCACATGAAATGTGAAACATGCTAAATGACCTATGGTTTGTTTGTTTGCTTGTTTGCTTGCTTCATTGAATTGACTTTAAAGTATTTTTAGTTGGAGGTGTAGAATTGTGGGGATAAATGTGTATGTTGGGAGACATCTTTCGATCACTCTTCATTTCATGGTGCCTTTGCTCCATGGATATTTATTAGCTCTTATTTATTTAACTTATTCCTCTCCCCACTTTTTTTTCAGGGGAGGGGGGCCTCCAGCCCACAGTTTCACCAAGTAATTATATACTGTATGTGCGGTTTGTGTTCCCTTTGAGAGGTGACTTCTGTGGGGATTGTCACTATTGGCTGCAGGTGCAGCCAAAGATAAGCAATAACAATTGCCAAGGCTATGCAATTCAGTTTAGTTTTCCTTTCAAGTTAAGCCAGAGTTAGAGTTGCCATACATCCAGGAAATCCTGGACATGTCCTCTTTTGGGGGGACTACATACCCATCCGGGGGGATTTTTATATTTTAAAGCAAGTTTCTGGGTTTGAGGGGGTGTATTTTTGGGGGGTGCAGGTGGCTCCTGTTGGCTGACCACACCCTATTCCATCATTGTCTAGCCTCTAGCTAGAGAACTTACGACCAAGTAGGAGCCCTCCATTTCTGTAGAGGAGTTATCTGCAGAGATTAGAATTTCAAGAAAACCATTGTATTCTGAAGGAACTTGTTAATAAACAGCTTCTAGGACAAGAAGGGTGATGATGGTTGGGTTTATTTCATGGGGGTCTTTTTGTACTAAAGTATATATATTTTATCCTTTTGTAAAGAAAACAGAATTGGCTCTTCTGTCCAAATAAAAGTGGTGAATTTTGTTTCAACTAAAAGGCTCATTTGATTTAAGAAGGCTTCTTTCTAGGCCACAGGGGTGGGGCAGTCTGTGATGCCAGGGATTCAGCCTGGGACCTTCTGCTGGTAAAATGCATGTTCTACAGCTGTGCCTGTTCCTAAAAGATCTCTCAACATCTGCAATTGCACACCTGCAAAATGGGGCCGGGGGAGGGGGGAGATGGCCAT